GTGACGCAACAGGATTGTTACGGTAGTAACAGCGGTTACTTCCGCTAGCGTTACTAGCAACACAGCGCCAGGCAACAAGGGTGCCTATTACGTGGCCGTATTGTCCGATCGAGGCTACATAAGGAGCAGCGAAGGCTATTCACAGTTAGTTGTACTGTGACAGTCAGCCAGTTAGTGCGTTACCAACGAGTTCTCAGTTCGCAAGTTACGAGCTACAGACGCGTGTGCGATAACCAGCGATAACCAGTTATATCTGGAGTGTGTAATTCAGGGAGACTTGTATAGCTCCCGCATTATTAGTACGTGAAGACTCTCGAAGAGAGTGTTAAGAGATTTTGTTGTAGGGTTTGTAAAGTGTGGAAACCCATAATATTGTGATAATTAAGTGTAGCCGTTATTTGAAGATTGTTAAATAAACCAATTAACCATCTCTACGGCGTCTTCAGTAACGAAACACGTTACAATATATATATGCATATCACAAAGTTCAGAGTTCAGAGTTCAAAATCCAGACATGATAATTCAAACCAAACAATTCTGAAACCCCTTAAAAAAACAAATATATATTTATTTGACTGGCCAAGTAGTGGGGGTGGGGGTGAAATTCCTTCTGTGACTTAATTTGTCAGAAGTACAAGAACCATTTGTCATCATGTCTTTCTTAAACAATATATTTTTCAACAGTTAAAGCTGCTGCTTGAATCCCTGGTCAGGCATTTGTGCAGATGGGAAAATCAGAATTTCAGGAAAAATTATGTGGCAGTTTTACCTTCAACAAACATACAAAATTTGTCCTACTTCAAGTTCCGAAACTATTCTCACAGTATTGTTCTAACTGCCCTTTGCAACGTGGGTAGGGATTTTAAGTTGACTGAAATTTGTAGAATATCACAAGATTGGCTAGCTTACAACAAATAATCAAATGATGGGGTTCATTTGACCAATCTCAAAATTTGATTTCTATTTCCTTTATCTGAAGTTTAAAACTTCAGACAGATGTATCCTAGAGAGGATATGAATCAACACTTAATTGATGCTGGACTTCGAACTCAACATTCAACACATAAAGCCATGTCATGAAAATATCAGGATAATTAAGACACTGAAAATATATACTGAATGCTTCGACAGTCAGACATCTATATCTATTTGGATAATGACAACATGATTCAAAGCAGCTTAATAAAACTTTCATAGTGACAGATTTATCACCGATTTATCACCTTTTGTTCATTATCATTATTGTAGTTTCCTCCTCATTCACTTATTCATTTCTGTCAATAAGATATGAAATAAATTTCAGACTACCAGCATCCAAAATGTACCATAAACTATCTGAATCCTAAATTAACCCAGTCTTGAACAAAAGAAGGTGAAAGGTGTGAAGAAGGTAGGTGTACGAGTACTCAGTAATTTCTGTGTCTAAAAATTTATTCCTATTGTAATCTAAAGAACTATAAACTTTTCTTCTTCATCGTTCCTTCTTTTGTGCTGTCAAAAAGAATGTAAAGGTTTTCTCCTCATATTGCTCAAAATCAATGAAGGAGGTACATGACAGTAGCACACAGCTGGTTTCAAATCCACAGACCAGCATGAAATCACTAGGACCACCTTCCCTCAGAACTACACAGTGGTGTGTGGAAGAATGTCAAAATTGTGTATTCTTTCTTCATCGTGTTGTTTTCACCCATTTCCCGCTCATATATTCAGCAACTCCGAACACTCCAGTCTTATTTCTTCCTTCCATCACTTAACATGGTTCTTCTAACCACTGTGTTTGTGCATCCCCCTTTCATATCCTTCAGCTGGTATGTGCTGAAAAGCTGTTTTGGACATCCATACCAGCTCTGTTTCCTATTCTCTACACAATGCTTTCCTTTACACTACCTATACAGCATTTAATTTTGCATTCAATTCCACCTAGTTAATCTTACACATCTTCAAAAATTAATTCTTACCTATCTCAAATACATTCAGTGTAAACAACTGGTCACATGGTTATATATGTAAAAGGATTTCACTGTCACACTTATACAACACCTGACTGAAACAGTGGATACTAAAAAATTACTGAAGCAGAGAATTAATATGAACAATGTATCATCAGTATCACCTAATATCCATCAAATGCAGCACACTGACATGAAAGTACACTTCACAGTTCCTGAAACTGAAATATTATCCACAAAATTGATCTGTACTGCAAATAAATAATGTAAAGAGTTTGATATGAGCAATAATACAACAGTTTCATTGATTAATAGGAACTACAAGCCTACTTTCTCATCCACTCTGGAAATATTAATTATAATTTATATCTTAAATACAGAAGGATACCTAACTGATTTGTTTACACAATCATACATTAGAACTGACATGAAACTTGAAATACAATTTTAAAATAAAAATGAGGTAAATTTTTAAAAATGTGGAAAATGATGAACACACTTCTGTGGTTCACTGCCTAGGGAACCACATTTAATCTATGTATGTTTCAAATTCATGCCTTCCTGGTCCACAACAATATTACAGTCTGCTGGTAACACCACTGCAAATGCTTGTTATTGTTCACGTGAAGTGCGGTATAATGTAATGCTCCATTCCTGTGACGTACATATACCAGGAATTCATTTGAAATATCAGTCCAACTTTCCCTGCATAATAAATCTTCTGTAAAAGAAATAAATACAAATCTTAGCATGGTGTGTAAGCCCTGTCAATGTACCTACATATACCATCACAACAGTCACATCCTATTGTGATGTATTTATTGCATGCGAGGATTTAATGAATGAATGAATGAATGAATGAATGAACAAACAAATGAACGAATGAATGAATGAATGCATAAGGGGTGGGCCATAATAATCCAGCCCTTGCACTGTGACCTTCAATGATCTATTGTGCTTAAGGAAGATTTAGGTCATAGTAGAGTCTTGAATGGAGAAATATTTTGGTTTAGTTTAGTGGGGCATCAGTCCACAACTAACTTGCATAATTATAATAACCATACACTAGTTATGCCATGGTTTTCCTTGAAGTAAAATGAACTGATATAATAAAATACCTTATTTCTTATATCAGTTATCTCCAATAAGATCTTACATAGTGTCTGTAACTGAACACATCAGATTTCTTCTATATGCAGCTTCAATAAACTTCATAAACCAAGTCAACTGGTTCCTTAACCTCTTAATTAACATACAAAACTAAGTGCACTACAAGAAACAAAACATTATATAATTCTTATCCTTCTACATAAATAATACAATTTGTAAGCATGAGTTTTATCATAGTCACTGATCAATTTCAGGTTACAATTGCAACGAAATGTCAAGCATTAACATCTTGAATGAACGAAAGTTACGTGGTAGGTCACAAATGAGCAAAGAGCCTTCTCTTTTAGTGTACTCTGTCTATTGTGTAAGTACTGATAATATTTTGATGTGGTATGTACAGACTAGTGTAGAGGAATAAATGATTTTAAGAGGGGTTACAAACCTAGAAGTAACTTAGTGAAAGATGAGAATGGTGATGTGCTTGCAGATTCCCACAACATTTTGAATAGGTGGAAGAACTACTTCTCTGTCACTGAATGTATATAGATCAGAGATGTCAGGCAGATAGATAGAAATACATACAACTGAGCCATCGGTACCTGATCCTAGCTCTTTTGAGGCTGAAATTGCTACTGCAAAGTTGAGAAGGTATAAATCGCTGGGTAATGATCAAATTCCGGCAGAATTGATTCAAGCAAGAGGTGAACTATTACGTTCTAAGATCCATAAGTTAATTAATTCTATTTGGAATGAGAAAAAATTGCCTGATCAGTGGAAGGAGTCTATTATTGTACCAGTTCACAAGAAGGGTGATAAAAATGAGGGATATCACTGCTACCAAATTCATAAAAAATTTTATCCAGTATTCTACTTTCAAGGTTAATTGTATATATGGACAGAAATACTGGGAATCATCAGTGTGGGTTTAGATGTAACAGATAAATTACTGATCAAATCTTTTGCATTTGTCAGATAATGGAGAAAAAATGGCAGTACAACGAGACAGTTTGTCAGCTATTTGTAGACTACAAGAAAGCCTATGATTCAGTTAGGAGGGAAGTATTGCACCAGGTTCTATCGGAAAGTTCTTGGACTAGTTCAAAAGAAATACCAGCTTAACTTACTAAATATTGGGAATGTACATAGGTAAGTCAATAATTATCCACAATGTAGCTATAAATTTTATTTCAATACAAATAGAAAACTTACATTAACATCATTTTTCAACATAGTTCCCTTGCTTTTCAACGCACTTGGTCCATCATTGCACAAGCTTCCTGATGCCCTCAGAAAAGGTTTTCGGCTGAGCAGTGAGCCATGCATGCACTGCTTCCTTCACTTCTTGGTCGAGGTGAATCGACGGCCCCTTAATGCCTCTTTGAGTGGACCAAACAAATGGTAGTCAGAAGGGGCGAGATCAAGACTATATCAAGGATGAGCCATTACATCAAACTTGAGTTTCCGGAGGGTTTCAGCAGTGTGGGCAGCAGTATGTGGACGGGCATTGTTGTGCAACAACACAACACCTTTCGACAGTAGTCCTCGGCGTTTGCTTCGAATTGTAGGCTTTAGCCTGTCAGTAAGCATCTCACTGTAATGAGCACTGTTTATTATTGTGCCCCTCTCCTGATAAAAGTTCCAGTACTGGGCCTTGTGAGTCCCAAAAAACTGTAAGCATCAGTTTTCCTGTGGATGGTTGGCTTTTGAACTTTGTTTTTGCTGGGTGATTGTGGATGTTTCCATTCCATACTCTGCCATTTACTCTCCGGCTCACAATGATGGATCCATGTTTCATCACCAGTGATGATTCTGTCTAAGAAGACGTCACATTTGTTACCATAGCAATCCAAATGTTGTTGGCAGATGCCCACGCGTTTGTTTATGCAACACTGTGAGTTGTTTAGGGACACATCTTGTACAGACTTTATGAAACCCAAGTCTGTTGTGGATGATTTTGTAGGCAGAACCATGACTAATTTGCAGACGATTTACCACTTCATCAACAGTCACTCGTCTGTCTAACAGAACCATGTCACGTGCATGCCCAATGTTGTCCTCATTTGTGGCTGTGGATGGTCGTCCGGCTCCTTCCTCATGCGTAACACTTGTGCGACCATTTTTTAATTTTTTAATCCATTCGTAGACACTCCGTTGCAGCAAAACACTGTTCCTGTATTGTGCTGAAAGTGATGGATTGCGGCCTGATACACCTTCCGACCACAAAAACCGGATCATTGAACGTTGCTCTTCTTTGGTGCAAACAGAAAGCAGAGCAGCCATGATTAACGGCAAGGCAGCGACGATGAAACTGACCTAGCAACATCAAACCTGCGCAGAAATAATGACAAGGAAACCACGCATGGCGATGCTGCCCAAAATGACAGGGCTGCCAACAGAACACAAATACAACTGCATTGCGGATAATTATTGACTTCCCCTCGTATATAGCAATTCTATTGTTATTTCCATTCTTCAAAAGCATCAGGGAAGTAATTTTCCTTAATGCTGTCGACTACCACTTGTGATTCCTTTTCAGTGTTAGACACTGTTTCAAAACATCGTCCCTTCAATTTCATTTTCAATTTGGGAAACAAAGTGAAATCAAAGTGTGCTAAGTCTGGCAAGTAGGGAGGATAGGGAACGATAACCATGTTGTTGATAGTCACAAACTCAGTGGTTCTCAGGGATGTGTGGGCGGGCACATTCTTGCAACAGAGCAATGCGGTACTTGTTCAAATTTTCTGTTAAGATCTCCTGGTAAACTCCATAATTCATCCTAACAGTGTCTGCAAGCTCATGGATTGTTTGGCGATGATCAGCCTCGATACATAATTTGGTAACATATAGTACTGGAAAGGAATATGGGAGAAAGCAGGTGGAAATTAATCCTATGGTGACATGATAACAACATAGTTACACAAGAGAACAGTGTTTTCTATTGAGTCAGATCTCAGGCTATATAGCAAGCATGAGCTAGAAAACTTAGCCAAGTTCACATATCACCTGTGTGACAAAAACCATGGGCAACACCCTCTAGGGAAAAGTATGACTCTGTGACATATACAAAATTGCTGAGTTCACTGAATCTGAGAAAGGCTTGTGGACTTGATGGTATTCCAAATACTTCAGGCATCTTCCAAGAAGTTCACTGGTACATCTGACATATTTACTTAATCATTGCCTTTGGCTGTCCCATTTTCCAAAGCATTGGAAGAAAGCAAAAGCTATAACATTACCGAAACCCAGTAAAGATCCAAAATTCCCTGGAAATGTACATCCACTTAGTCAGTTGAGAATGTGAGTTCGAGCCATGGGTTAGGTGCAAGACAGTTGCCAGCTGGTAATGATGTGACCGGAAGAGGATACTGTTGGGATCGGCTACCAGGCAATGACTGGCAAAGACACAGAAAACTGTATGTGTGCTGTAGCACAGTGTTTTGTAGAGTGTGTTCATCCGTGAAGCTATTAGAGTCACATGTAGTTATGAGTTAACAATTGTTCAATAAATTCAATTACCAATCCAAACCCCATGTATAGTCACTAAATCATGATAACTGGTGTGAGAAGTTAGATAAATGGGTTTGATTGATCAAATTGTTGGATTGGAGACCACAGGAGGCTGCTATATTGTCACACTACGAAAATGGAACAAATGGTGGAATATGTAAGATTTGAGGCTTTCACGGCGGTGACTATAAAGAAAGCAGTCTTCTGGGATTTGGCACCATGTATATGCGGTGTTAACCGACTTTTCGGAGGAACGTATCGCCTGGCGCAGTCTGCTTTTACCGGTTCTCATGGTCTCTTCGCTTGCCGATTTCTTATATTTTTCTTCTACCCTGAAAATGGAGGCGATACGTTCCTCCCAAACGTCAGTTAACACCACATATACACGGTGCCAAATCCCAGAAGACTGCTTTCATCAAATGATGGAATACCTGCTCACTGAAATGAAGGCCAACTAAGAGAGGATGGAAACCCAGATAGGTTCCCTTGCCTCCCAGATGGATGTCAACTAAGCCAAGACATAAACCAACCAAGAACAGATGAGAGCTGAAATGAAAGCCCACTGAGAAAAACTGATTGCCCTGATGGGTGCCAACACAGAATAGATTGAGGCTGACTAGGAAGGGATGGAGGCCAATTAAGAAAGGACACAGTCCAAAGCAGAGTCTTACAAACGAGCACTATGAGCAGAAGTCACAATCCTTATTACTGCCATGCAGGGTTGGACTTCCAGTGTTCTAAAAGGAAGCTCTTAAAGAAGTGACACACAAGGAAACTATCAGAGGAACTCAGCACTGATTCGAGGACCAGCATCTGGCTGCAGTGTGCCACAATCAACTGGAAACATGGACCGAGATCCTTGGTGAATCACTACAAGTTTGCTTCTTCCATTGGACAACTGATCCACCACACCTTTCCTGCCCAATATGAAAACCACGCTCATAGAACAGGCAAAGATCACAGTAAAGGCACAACAGAACAAGACATAAAACAGCAGCTACTGATGGTAAGTAAGAGGACATTAAACAAGAACCTTAGGCAGATCCTACAGCTGGAGATCGCAAAGCCAATAACTGTGTCTTCTATTAGACCCTGGAAAAAGTGTGTCAGGACACTGGAGGAGCCAGCCCACTCAACAAAAAGTGAGACTACCAACAGCTTGTAGATGCACCAGCCATATTGGATCATTCTGTCCCCACAAACTGAAAGAAGAAAAGGCAATATGTCTATGGGCTACTCAGAACGAGCAGCCTTAAGAAAAAACAAAGTGACGATGGTATAGTTTTGCAAGAGAACCAATCTGCTGCTATGCAACAGCTGGTAAACAACATGTAACAGCTGGTTTCTGCAGCAACACATATGCGCACAAGAGAGGAACTGACTGAAATGGTGTTTTCTACTGGGTTCAACCTGATGCTATATAGTGAGTGTGAACTATAAAACTTTGTCAATCACTCTTGTGTGGAGGCGGGTTCAAACACCACCATAGTCCTGCAAGTCATAAGAGGCAACGAGACAGGAACCCAGTGCCTGGGTATGGTTAGTTAGTTAGTTATTGGAGAGGGTGGGTTTCCCCATGCACTTAGACCTGTCTTGGTCCATTGTGCTTCTGTCTACGATATTCTACCAGTCTCTATATCCTACCGGTACTGATGCTTACCATCAGTCCCGCCCAGCCAGCGAGACCGGCTCTACTAGCTGAGAGGTATCTATATTGCTTCCCCATCTACCAGAGGTATTAGAGACTGCTGTTGGGCGGGAAACGTCTGTAATTGGGATCAGTGACCTCCTTTGGAGATATGAGGCTCTTTTACGTGCCGTAAAGCTACGACACGGGACCCATGGCTTGAAGTCCCTCCCGGAGGACTTGTTCCCTGAATTTTTCTGCCCTTAAAAATTTGATGACCTCCGCCGGGTATTTGAACCCGGGTACTACGAGTCATGAGGTGGGAACATTACCTCTAGACTATGGAGGCCGCTTTGCCTGGGTATAACTGGGACACCTTGTTCCTGGGGGATATAACATATGGACCTGGCCCTCCAGGTTGGGGGTCTCGAATCTGAAACAGTAAAATGTGGATATGAGACCCATGGGACTTGGAACTGAGAATGAGTGCACTGGCAATGACCAGCAGCAATTGTGAACAGACCTGTCCTCTAGTCAGACAGGGCACCCCACATCAACAAACCCACAACTGTCTGACAGCAATAAAAACCTGGTCTTGGGACCCAGATTGGTGCTTGACGCAAAGATAGACTGGCCAACTGGCTGTCAGTCATAATATAACTATGACTACAACTCTGTCAGTTGAGGATATGAGAGTTACAAGTCAGTCCATAATGTGGGTTGGAATCCATTACCAGGCAATGACTGGTGAAGATACAAAAGACTCGTGATGCAGTACAATGATCTGCAGAGTGTGTAAATCCATAGAACTGTTACAGTTAACTGCAGTTACAAGTTATAACTGTTCAAAAATTCAATTACCATTCCAAACTCCATGTCTAGTCACTAAATCATGACAGATGATGTGACTTCCCACTGAATTTGCAAGGGGCATTATACTAGTTTTCATGAAATTCACGCTCAAAAACTAAAAAGAATTTTACACATCTTTTCTATTATATACCTGCGGTGTCACATGGTGATAAGTGCCATAAATAAAAGAAAATAGATAACTTTATAATATTTCCTAGAAATCATCAGGCAGACAGGACAGGAGGAAATGGGAAGAATGAAGAATTTTACAATCTTAATGTTGAGGTTTAATCCTTCATAATACCACACTGCAAAAAAATTTCACAGCAGCCAGAACTTTTCTTTTCTAATAGTATATTTGTCAGTACCCTTGCAGTTTTACACACATGGTTGAAATATGCAATACACTGGCAGGTGTCTGATTCTTGAGTTTTTTTTTTTTACAGTTTTTCCAGTATGTATCAATGCTTTCCTGTTATGTGAACTGACTGAAAGAAAGTGCTGACTGTGGCATATTCGAATACACTAAAATAATGAATATCAATATAAAAATGAGGGAACTTCAAATTTCTTTCACAGACCAGTCAGGTAAAAGATATCATGACTCTTCATATGGAAACAGGATCATACCCTGGAATATGAGGAAGAGCTACAGCAAACAGTGGTTCCAACATAGGTTATAGTATGAGGACATGGACAGCTTTTCCAGGTGAAAGTCCAGGTACTTCATAACTTTACACAGCTTCCCAGTTACTTTCCTATTAAATGGAATTCTTATGCTCCTACAAATTATTATACTGCAGTCATCACTGATAATTTGAAGTTGGTGAAACGCATAAATCCTGAAGTATCTTTCAATCCCTGTCCCATTCCAATTCAACTGACAGTATATGAGAGCTGGTAGACTTAAGAGTGCATGCCTTGTACATGCATGCTTTACATTATTGTTTATAATACTTTGTCTAGTTCCTTCAACCTTTACTGGTACCCAGATCAAAAATTCAGTGACTAGACAACTGGTCAATGTAATGTTTACAAGCTTTCACTTCCTTCAATTAGTCTATGCTGTGGATATCTCTCTCTCTCTCACACACACACAGATATATAATATATTTAGGTTCAAAAATGATTGACACTCGCTCCATAACTCCGGAAAAGTAGCAGTGTCAAATGCGAGCCGGTGTATGTGGGAAGACATACTATAGTGCCGCCTATGGCCACGAGATCACGTTGCTACTGCGCACAGGTTGAACAGTGCTGTATCATTCGTGGCAGTGTGCAGGTGTAGTCGTGGACAATGCTCAGACAACGTGGATGCAGATAATCATGGGCAACAATGGACTGTGTGGTTTCTCTGGAGGGAAGGAGTGGCTGCTTCACAGTCACATGAGGTTAGCAGCTGTATGTGGGGAAGCAGCACCAAGTCACGTGGGGTAAGGCGTTCACCTCCAACGGCGAGCTTCAGGCAGTTGTCCAGCAGTGGTGCCAGGACACTTCCAAAGAATGGTTTGCTGTGCAAATATGGAAAATGCCAGAACGATGGCAAAGGTGCATAGACATTGGCGGGGAATACCTCTAATATAATCTGTACGTATTTTCTTCCAATAAATGGTTACTATGAAGAAAAAACATTTAGTGTCAATCATTTTTGAACGCCCCTAGTATTTTATCACACTTTACTGTCTTTTCTTATAAAAACCACAGAATTCTACAGGTTCATACGGTATAAATGTGAGGTATTCATTTATGATCTATTTAATGAATATGCTAGTATTTCTAGCATCAGATGGTACATTAGTGAATAACGTATTAGACAGGACATGACAAAACTGGTGGTGGCATAATCAGAGGTACTATGCCCATATTGGTCTAGACGGAACGAGGAAAAACACACAAAACCTTGGTTATGATAGTCAGTGTCCTGGACCATTTCAATTCTGCCACCTCCCATATATTTAATTCAGAAGTGTTACCACCTGAGCCAATTTTCTTGGTTCATGCAGTAAAATATAAAAACTCAAGTGAAGCTGAAATATAATACAGAACTAACTAATCTCTAAATGTTAGCTCTATTGCACGCACACTTATAAGGACAGAGTTTACTTACAAAATAATCTGTGGCAAATCAGGTGATCTGCAGATGTATTTATGTCCATATCCGTAACTCCTGTTAAACGGAACAAATTCAACAGGACCAGCATCTTTAGGTCGTATCTGAATGGCAGTGCCATATAGCTGAGGAATTGAACAAACCATGTGAACATGACTGTAAAAGTACAGTCTACCCATAAGAGTTGCATTCAGCAGAAGTAAAAATATAATTAACCACTCTTCCTTTATGATAAACAGACAAATTCACATGCAACTATTAAGTGTTAGGTTATAATACTTACGCACACTGGCAAGAAGTAAAAAATTATAAGTAGATTCTAAAGGGTTCTGATGGTGGATGACACACAGAATTACGGGGTTTTGGGACTTTTTCCATCGTCTGGAATTCTAGGTAATACAAGACATGACGTTTAAGAAACTGGGAGATGGAAACAGATCCAGTTTCTGAAATGTCCTGTCTTCTATTACCTAGAATTCTGGACGATGGAGAAAGTCCGAAAACCCAGTAAGAAATATATAGACCTACTGAAAGCATAAACAATCAAAAATAAAGTTTCTGTGTTTACTGTTATTATACAATCTAAAGAAACTTAAACACAAATAAATGGTTTAATATATAACCTCAAAGATCCAGTGTAAGAGCACTACATTATAAGAAGAAAACATATCAGATACTAAAGCGTTTTGAAGTCAGTGAGGATTTTTTTTCTCTTCTTCTTTACTGTACTTGTAACATAGAGGCCAAATTTGATTGCTGAATATGAAAGCTGGGAACTATATTCAGAATATCACTCCTACTTGATTATCATAAAAAAAAAGGACTTATGAAGAAAATGAATCAGACATGTAATGTGTGTTCAGTTTTCTCTACAGCCTTTGCTCAACACATTTTCATATTTGAAGAATATACAGTGAGAAACAAGCACAAACAAGTGTACTTTTTCAGTTGGTTATGCTATATTTGTTGCTATATGATAAGAAATGTAAAACAAACGGTCTCCATGAAAACACTAAAAAGTGTTTATTTTTCATATTTCCATTCTGTCTTGTCATACGGTATAATGTTTTTGGGTAACTCGTCTTATGCCAAAAGAGTTTTTAAGTTGCAAAAGAGAGTTGTAAGATTCATGTAGAGGACATTTTAAGGATATGAATATATTTCCTTTAAGAACACAATATATATACACCTTGATGATGTTTGTAGTAAAAAAACAGAAGAATATTTGATACAAACAATGTTCACTATGAAACAAATACTAGACACATTATGGATATACATATGACCCAGGTTAATTTGGCGATATATGGAAATGGGGTGTATCATATGGCTGTAAAAATATACAATGCACTTCCTGATAAAGGAATTTTTGTATTTTAGTTCTTTTTATACATTGGAAGAACTTTTTATTAGATAATGCTTGTATAATTATATTTAATTGAAATTGTAACCAATATGTTAGTTGACTAAAGCTTTTTTGTAAATAACTTCAATTATCTGTTATAACAGATCTTATTTGATTGTACCGTTTTAAAGTTGTAAATATTATTATTTGTATTCTTTATTACCTTTATCTTATATTGTAAATTGGTTACTGTAATATGACTAATTATATTCAACTTTCAAACTTGTCTTATATTATAAACTGGTTTTTAAATAACTGTCATATTGTATAAGCATGATTAGTAAATATTTGGACTGAATTTTTTATCTTAAAATTGTCACTGTCTTACTTATTATTTTCAAGATAAATTTTTAGGTGTGATTTAAATCTTGTTATTTTGACAACTGCTTGATTTCTAATCACGATGAGTTTATATTTCTGGATGATTTCTGTATCTATTGGTTATTTCAACCTTGTAAGGATTTTATGGAATGTGAATAAATGAATGAATGAATTAATGATTCTGTAAGTATCGAGACTATTTCATGGTGATGGCTGGATGATTAATGAATGTGAAGCAGTTGGTCAGTTGACAGAATAAGAACTGCCAGGGAAAACCGACATACTAGGAGTAGACCCACCCCTGTGCCACTATGTCCACTACAAATCCCACCCAACCTGACCTAGGAATGATCCTGGGTTGCTGTGGTGAGAAGCCAGTTACTAACTGCATACAGTATGGAATGGCACAAAAAGCATGCAAGCCTTCATATAGAATCATGTTAAATACACTCTATCTATATGAAAACTAAAACAGCTTGACAATTTTTTGTAAAACTATCAAATATAAAGTTCATGAAAATACATTCAATGGTTCTCAAATTGTTACATGTATAGAAACAGGAAAAACTTACAGATGCTCTGCAGGGTTGCACTCAGAAAAGGTGAGGATAACACTGTTGAAGCAAAAGACTCTGATTTCAAATCTTAATCTCTGAACTGACATAAGAACCTGATTCTGACTCCCAAGAATCAAGAGTTTACAACATTAAACAACGACATGTAGCTGCATCACATACACACCCTCTTTCCCAGTTGGAATGGCACAACCATATCATCCTCAGCATGCAGTATCAGAACTGGTGATTTGATAATTCCCAAATGTTTGTCTGTTTCAAATAACAGCTGGTTCTCTCCAACAGGATCCACGAAGAAGTACTCAAACCATGGCAGCTGTCTGTAGAGCTGAATGTATGGTAGTTATAATAATTCAATGAGATGCTTTCTTACTACTCTACGCACATACAAAAAATTAAGAACTCACCCACAACAGAAGAGAAAAATACTATAACATAAGTACTGGAAGAAAATGTAAATTTAATTCCTAAAGAATTTTTGGAGGAGGGAGGGGGACATTGATAACTTCTGCCTATATTGGACCTGTGAATGCTGTTATTAGCAGGTGGTCTTTATAGAATACAACTACAAGTATTTTTTAAGTTAACTCTTTCCCTAGCCAGCCATTCTTGGCCTTCATAATTTTCATATACAAAGGAAGTTGTCAAGCATTTTGGTGGAAGAACAATACAGCTCAAGTGATTAGTTACACTGTTAAAGCAAAAACGGAAATACATTGCAGTGCAGTTTTAAATGAGGTCTTGAACATATTGTTTGTAGTTTTCCAAAAGTCTGTTAGAGTGGAATCACATCCATTTTGTACTTGACCCCTAAATTCCTTTTAATAGCAATGAGGAACGTTATAATACTTGATAAATAACTGAAGCGTTCTTGTGTACAGGTAACACTGGTGAGTTTGCACGTGTTCAGGCACACGAAGACACGTTTCAGCAGTTTAGTTACAGAATGATTATCACCAATGTTTCCAGGCATGGCAGGGACATTTTAATACCTGTATAAAGTCAGAAGGCATGTATTTTGAAGGTAATTACACTCATTAAAAGTTCATGATAATACAATACATATTTTACAGAATCAGTCCAGTCATCCGTTTGACGTTGTATGAGAATGAGATGGGTGGTAACATAACACACACACGGGGGAAACGAGAAATATACACAGTATCTTGGTTGTAAAACCTCAAAAGATGGGACCACTTGGGAGATCACCTACACATAAACTGGAAAATGTTAAAATAAATCACAGGAAAATAGTGTGAACTGGATTCAGCTGGCTCTCAATGGAATCAGTTGCAAGCTATTGCAACACAGTCATAAACCTTCAGATGCCATGAAAGTACACGATTTCTTGAAAATAATGACTCTTCAAAGAAAACCCTATTGCACAGAATAAGAACAACTTGAGTCTCACGTTCTACTACTAAAACACCAGACAATGGAAATTTATGTCAATCTACGGCAAATGATAAAATGAAGCACAACATAAGCGTAATCACAGAATTGAGTGAAAGTAGGAGGTTAAATGTGAATACCCCATCCCACCTTTCCACACTACATTTTGTGCATACTCATACAAGCCAATGCTGTGTACCAAAAATGGCCCCATATGTATTTAAAATATAATATCTTGGACTAAATGCCTATGGTTCAAATTTTTACAATTATTCTTCTAACCTTTGAGAATGGGTGTTCTTTGAGCTCATCCCGGAGATTGTTAAACGGTGATTCCAGAATCAGCCCATCTGCTTTCTTTCCTTCTTGAGCAAGTAAGGACAAAGCATGTGAAGATACGCTGAAAAGGAAGAAATGGCACAAGATTCATTTGAATCTGCAGACAAAACATATTTGAACACCTCAGCTATCATATCTCAAACTGCAAGAATAAGAGTCCAGGAGGACTCAAGACATGAGAATGACTGCACTGGCAAGGCCCAGCAGCAACTGTAATCATCAAAGAGGGTGTTACATAAGGATTATAATCGAAAGTGTTCAGTTGGAAAATAAAAATTCTAGTCATGAGTCTCAAGGGGCTTTTTGCCAAGACGAACTGATTGGCGGTAAACTGCCAGTCATAAAGTAACTCTGACTCTGACTCTGGCTAGAATCAGAACTGACAGAGTCTCTAGAGATGGCAGTCAAAGATGATTCAGAAGAAATTGCAAGAAAGGAATTAGGCTTTCCAAAGATTACATAATGTGTGCTGTAGTTACAGTGAGATTGGTATAGTTCCTGTTTAAATCTGTTGCCTGGATAAGACTAGTGAAGACTGAGAAGACTTGGCGTGGTGTGATTTGTAGTGTGGAAATGAGCAATAGTGTTAGTTATTTGTAGTTACGACGTGTAAGTGGTTAGTAAATTTACTCACCAATCTAAAGCCCGTCTATAGTCACTAATACATATGACAACAAATAATGCATGATTACACTAAACACCTCCAAGAGATGCACCCTGAAGAAGTACGATTTTATAGAAATTAATGCGTGATTCATGCTTAATTTCCAGATTTTACATTAAATGCTAAATAAAACAAAATGTATTCATGAATGAAAATAGTCCAGCTTTTCTGATCCACCCTGTACTTACCCTGTGCCAAGTGAGTGACCCCATACATATAACGGGGATGTCTTCACTCTTTCCTGAATCCATTCGAACACATATTTCCCATCAGACACTACACCCATTTCTGACAGAGTATCAGAACTTGAATCACCATAACCTTAACAAAGAAAAATATCTTAATTAGTGTAAAAAACTCAAGTGCTAAGAAAGAATGACTGAAATGGGAATTTGATTTCTGCTGACAATGTCAGAACATTTTAATACATTATTACACTCTTAAGTGCAGTAGGCTTAAAGAAATAGGGTGAGAACGTGGACTGGAGTGATCTGACTCAGGACAAAGGCCAGTAGTGGGCTCTTGTGAACACAGTAATGAAACATAAAATATAGTGATTTTCTTGAATAGCTGAATGACTGCTAGCTTCTCAGGACTCTGTTCCATGGTGTTTGTTTTGAAGTTAAGTGAGGCTAGCTTTCAATGCCATTCTCAGGTGAAATGTTATATACATATTTGAAATAATGCAAAAGAAACATCTGCATTCCCCATCAGGAATGTCAAGGGTTCGATTCCCAATGAAGTCACTGGATTTTTCAATCGACCTAATCCTTCCAGCCACACTATGGCATGAGGGTCGACTCAGCCTCTAACAGAGATGAGTATCAGGAATCTTCCTGGGGTTAAAGGGTAGCTAGCATGTAAGGCTGACAACCTCAGACCCATCTGCGAACCAAATGCCTATAAAATGCGGGTGCCTCGATGTCTCACAACCCTAAGGGCCTCCATGGCCTGTTTTACAGGGATAGCTTTACCTTTCTTTTTACCAGTAACTAGATGTACATACCATAAAAATTAAATTCATGTCAAAAATGGAGGATTGATCTAAATTATGGTACTTATGCTTTCTTTTCACTCATGATCTAGTCAAGTCTGGCACAATAAGGGTTAAGACAAACAAAAAAGCCTTCAAATGAGGGTGATGGAACTGCTCTCTGATAATCAACTGTCAAACCATGAAAGATTTGAGCATAACTTTACAGCAAAATTCATGATAGAGACAGAGGGCCACTGGGTTCAATTACAGATCAACCTGGTGAATGAACCTCACTACGTAATTAACTGCGTCTACTAAATTAAAATCTTACTCCGGTAGTCAAAGGCGATGACATGATAATTCATGTTCCTAAGCAGGGTGTACAGCTCAACACGATGTGGGCTGCCTCGGGAACCTGAGTTTCCATGCATGTACACTATCACTGGCTCTCCATGACTCAGTAATTCTTCATAGAATGAGTCATTAGCATTCATCGAATCATTCATTAATGACGCTGGCAATATATGCCTGAAAACAGTGTTGCACATATAAGTAATATTAGGGCAGAATTCCATGAAGTGCAATGTTTTTTAATAATTAATTTGGGACTTTACATATTTGGGCCACTGATGACCATCATCAGAAGGTGAGCAATACTTCAAAGGAAATGCCTCACATGTATTACATGTATGTGTTGTCTTGTAAGGGTTACAACACTAATATTTAAAATATATTTTGTTGAAAATAATAAAATTTTTTGATTAATCAGAATCTTGCTGTGTCCCCCAGTGATTCTCACATTCCTTCACAGTTGGTTATCTGTACTGTGTTGGCCCTGTGTATGTGTGTGGGCAAGGTTGTGGTGTTGTGTGCAATGTGTTTTGGTGAACTAGTGTTGCACAATTTATACCTCAAACATTATTTACATGCAAAATGATAGATTAACAGATACAGCCAAGATCAGGCATAATTATGAAATAAATGTTTTGTGGAAGCATCGAAGCCCAAAACACCCTAGTGTCCCCTGTCTCCCCATAAAATGATGTCTGAATTAAATAATTCTGACAATATGCTAAAATCATTTCTTTCAACTGACACTCCATACTTGTCTATTCATTGACAATTAGTGAACCATTTTATATAAGATCAAGTCACTACTACAGCTACAAGGTAACATCAAAAAGTTCCTAGACTGTTATTGTTGTAAGTGCCTCAGTGGAAGTAGATGAGAGGGGAGCCCAAGGTCACACTTCTGAAAGCCTATTGCATCAGTCTGGCACATGATACTGCGTTGTGAACAAGCATGGTTTTTACATGAGTACTTTTTTAACTTCGTGTTTCATTTTGTCTGCAGTGGATGGCAAAATTGAGCATTGTGTCTGCATCAAGTTTTGCGTGAAGCTCGACAAATCCACTACTGAAACTCTTGAAATGCTTTGTGAGGCTTCTTGAGAACATTCTTTAAGCTGGACAGTGGTTTTTGAATGGCATTCATGTTTCAAGGCCAGTCAAGTGTCAGTTGAAGATGACGAACGTTCAGGGTAACCAAGCACCAGCAAAATGACAGAAAATGTTGAAAAAATTTGAGAATGCATCCATGAAGACCATCACTGAGCAATCCATCAGCTCGTAGACCCTGCTGGGATTATTCATGGAGTTTGCCAGATTTTAACAGAAAATGTGAACATGTGCCACATTGCTCCTTCATCACAACAATGCGACCACCCACATGTTCCTGAAAACCAAAGAGTTTGTGACTAACAACAACATGGTTATCATACCCCATCCTCTCTACCCGCCAGACTTAGCCACTGTGATTTTGTTTTGTTTCCCAAATTGAAAATGAAATTGAAGGGACGACATTTTGAAACAATGTCTCATATCCAAAGATAATTTCAAGCGATACTCGACAGCATTAAGGAAAATGACTTCACCAGTGCTTTTGAAGTGTGAAAAAAACAACTGGATCACTGTATATGTTCCCAATGAGACTACTTTGGAGGACATGGCAGCCAAAATTGAGTAAGTTAAGCCAGCATTTCTTTTCTGACCGGGAACTTTCCAATAACACCTCATAAGTAAGACCTTTTGCATCTTGGTTGCCTTCAACAAGATATCTTAGACCCTTTCCACATTCATGTGCTCCATATAAAATATCTCACAAAAGTACGTGTTCCACCTATGGAATTTCTGCTGAACTAAGTAGTCTAGTTATCAACTGCTACACACCANGATTTTGTTATATTTCTACAGCTTACACTATTATGTATCTTGGTTTTGTGACAATAAAAAAACAGCATAAGAAATGCAGAAGGCAGATATGCTCCTGTTTTGCCAATTTCAGAAAAATCATCAAAAATCCTTTTAGCAAACAGCCAAAATGTTAAAATACTAATAAAATTATGACAAAGTTATTTTAAACATATCTCATACATTTCAGTGGGGGAGTGGGGGCTTGAACCTGCTGCAAAGAATACATTAAGTGTGACTAAACAAGCTAGTTAAGGAATTACACTTACAGAAAGTACATGATGGCAGAGGGTTAGAAAACAAGATTAACAAGCAGTTACATAACTCTGTATGAAACAGCATGTACTGTAATACATTTTTAAATTCTCTGACTGTTATAGAAAATCAGAACTTACCACATTCCAAGGGTGACACCTTGATCAGTTGTAATATAGAAGTTTCTGGTTGATGGCAGCCCACATTTTTCTGGGGTACGCAAATCTTCAATGCGAGGCCATTTTACTAAAAGAAATTAATTTAAAATACTTAATATCAATAATATATCTATAAATTATGAGTAACTAAGTATGAAAAGAATTCATATGTCATAGAAAAGTTTTTTAACTTTTTCTACAGCTATTATCAAGTTTGTGTAATGCATATAATAGCTATTTTTAAAATGCAAAAAGTTGCAAATAAAAACTTAACTGCAGTACTAGTGAAAGTGTCTCTTCATTGCATTGTCTTCTTTCTTAAAATGAACTACTTAAAAAATGAAACTGCCTACTTATAAATGTGGCTGGATCCAGTGGACTCTTGTGAACATGAAAATGAATTTTTGGCAACTATAAAAATCACAGAACTTAACAGCTAAGTAACTATCAGATTCTCTAGAAATGACTCTGCTCTGTGGAGCTACACAATTCCCCATACATTCAAATGAGTGACCATACATTATACTTACCAAAATTGAGAAATATAACGGTTCTCTGCAAAGGGTATGTATATCTGAACAATACTGGTATGAATCCAAACATTACAATTAAAATGCATACTACAGCTCTTAATGTGCCAAACAGAATTCTGAAAAAGAGTTCAAAAGCATACTTTATATAAACTGTTATTACAAATGAAACATTAACATAATATTTCTAACTTGTTTCATATTACACAAGATTGAGGTATGTTAAGAATGTCCTCACCGTAATATTTGGAAGGAAAAGGAAATAAATTTCAACTAAAACTCCTAAATAAGATGGCATCTTCACTGTCACTCTCAACACCATTTCACAGTATTAAGTAGGATTCAGGTTCTCAGTCATCAATATTTGATATGTAACAGTGTGTAGCCTGCCACATGGATACCAACATTTTGGAAGAATCTGCTGCCTTCACTTTCTACTCTGAAGACAGAGGCAGAAGGCTCCTTCAAAATATACCTATCTACCAAAATGCATAGTGTCATATCCCAGAAGAAAGTAATCTTCATGATGGATTAAGCTGTTGGCTTGTTATACTTACAAGGATTGAACCTGTTCTAGCTTTCTGTCAGATGCCCTCAGCATCTTCTGCACTTCATTTTATACTGATATAGCTTTGGGATTCAAATTCTTAAGAATTCTTTCTAAGTGGTTTAAGCATTTCTTTTTAGTTTTCCATTAGTGTATTGAATCTATTATCATTTCTTCCCCAAATCTTCATTATATTTATGAACTGGTCACTCTGAATTATGTGACCACTCTAAGGAAATACATTCCATGAGGTTAGCTATGAAGTAAATCACTTTAAGATACAAATTATGTGGTTATGTGTGTGATCCCCGTATTGTATTGGAGAAGTCAACTTCAGCAACTTAACATGCAAAGAAGAGTTTATCATCTGAGATATGGTGCCACATAATCCACTGAAAGCAAACTCATGCTGCAGAGGAACATACTACCTCCATCTTCAAAGTCAAAGAATAAGATAAGCAAGATATGTCAGTTGACTTTCAGCAGACTACAGAGCTTTATGTACATGTATCAGAAGACAGAGCTCTTCAGCGTCACTCCTGTGAGGATTTCAAACCAACTCAACAGGCATTGTTTAGAAAGAACACCTTATGCAGAAGTCGTGTCTGTCTGCCCATCTGTGAATTAGCATCAGTGCCTAAAATATCAGACATATTAGATATGGATGACTTATACAAAACATGCTGGGAAATATCAATTTTCAGTCATAATGATCCATAATAAAGCCCAGTTTACATAAGGCCATAAAGGGATTCTTTCACTCACAAGCTTCGTTGCAATTTTATATAAATGACTTTCACTTATCTACCTTTCATTATTCTCATTTTTAGCAAGCTTAATTAACCTCAAAAAATGCCACTGGTAATTTTGTGCAATACATTATGAAGTATACCCTTTCTAAGCCTGTTTTTATAACAGTAGTTGTGTGCATTAAAATCATGATATAAAGATAGCTAACAGATGTTTTGAAAATGTGGCACAGTTCAAATATTTGGGAATGACAGTAACAAATCAAAATCTGATTCAGGAGGAAATTAAGAGGAGATTGAATTGGGTAATACCTGCTACCATTTGGTATCCAACCTTATGACATTTTGTCTGCTGTCTAAAAACATAAGAATTAGAATATAAAAACCTATAATTTTGCCTATGGTTCAGTATGGGCGTGAAACTTGGTCTCCGACATTAAGGGAGGAACACAAACTGAGAGTGTTTGAAAACAGGGCGCTGAGGAGAATATTTTGACTGAAGAGAGATGAAGTGATGGGAGGTTGGAGAAAACTACATATTGAGGAGCTTCACAACTTCTACTCTTTACCAAGTATAATTAGATTTATCAAGTCAAGGAGGATGAGACGGACAGGGCATATATCACGAATGGGAGCGAAGAGGAATGGATATAGGATATTGGTGGGAAAGCCTGAAGGAAAGAGGCCACTAGGAAAACCAAGACATAGGTGGGTGGACAATTTTAAAATTGATCTCAGAGAGACAGGATGGGATGGTATGGATTGGATCAATCTGGCTCAGGATAGGGAACTATCTAGGGCTCTTGTGAACATGGTAAGGAACCTTCAGGTTCCATAAAATGTTGGGAAGTTCTTCAGTAGCTACACAACTGACAGCTTCTCAAGAAAGGCTCAGCTACATGAAGTTAATTAGTACTGCTCACTGTCAAACATCATGGAAACACTATGGTTCAAAATTCCTGTCAGAACTGCTCTGTTAACTTACTAAATATATTCTTCTAAACATACAAGATGCATCAGCTCAAGGTAACATACAAGTATTTCACACGCAATGACACTGTGAAAAGGATTTCTGACATTCACATTAAGAATGTGCCACAGTATAAGCATCCACATTGCAGAGATGCCACAGAAGTTGGTGAGTACATTTTAGAAATGTAATATTTCCACAGGAATAATAATTGGCAAATATTCAAATTCATCAAAAGAATTTAGCCCTAGTAATACACAGATCCTTGCTCTTCAATGTGAATCCTTTTCCACAAAAATAAGATAAAGCAAAAAAGTAAGTAAAGGTATCCCTGTAACAGGCTGTGGAGGCCCACAGGGTTGTGAGATGTTGAAGTTCCCACATTTTCTAGACAATCAGCTCATAGATGGCCGTAAGGTCATCAGCCTTATGCGTCGGCCGCCCTTTACCCCCAAGAATACTCCTGGTACTCATTTCTGTTAGAGGCTGAGTCGACCCCAGGGCCGTAGTTGGGCTGGAAGGATTAGGTAAATTGAAAAAAATATAAGATAAAGTAGTCTATGATTTGTATCAGTGCAACTGAGTTGACTGAAATGAAAGTAATTAATAGCTTAGATATGATATAAATCTTGCATAGAAACTGTATGCAATGAAATATTCTCAGGCAATCAGTATCCAACTTTCATGAGACTGTCTGTCTCTCTCATCTGGGGGTGATGTGTGAGTGACACATGTATTTATACCCAAAGAGTATGCTCTAAGAGCCTGGGTCCTATCCTAATGTGGGTCACCAGCATGGGGCACCAGGATTCTTTTTACACTTATCACATAACCTCTGATGATGGAGATATTCAGTCTACAAAATATTAGACATGAACTCAATCTTTACATGGTTGATTGCCTGAAAAGACTTCACTGCAACTTCATGAATGTACTGTATTGCTTTACTATGTAAGATTGCATTAATGTGTAGTCGCAATAAGAAATCGGTAAATATTCATGACTTGCTAAGAACAAATATTTCACCCAGACAAATACCAATGACATACATGAAGCATTTAGTGTTAAAGTTCCACAAAGCCACAAAAGCATACTGAAAACAAATCACTCCAGTCTTAAGTTTTAATTAGAGGTTACAGTTACTCTACAGCTTGTGCATCACATTCTAGAATGACAGTGAAGTATGAGAGTTGGTTCTGTAAATGATGTCAGTGGGATAAAGCAAATCATACAAAGAAAACTATGCACCGAGGGGCAAGAAAGGGGGGTGGGAGGGAAGTGGCCGTTCTATCACACTTTGTCATATGTCACACTGAGTTCATGCAATGGAACAAGAAAATATTCACATAAACTGAATCTGGGAGCAAACCTCATAACAGTTTTTTAAAATCATGCACAGCTGAAGCTGACAGTGATTATTTTAACTTACATAGCTCTGGAAGAGCAAGATATGACAATGCATTATAATATTTTAACTGTTAGCAAATATATCATTTTACACAGTGTGAACCCTTAAAAATGGCAGCATAATTAGCCAGAGAAGTTCTTCCATTATGTGATCTCGGCATAAGAAGCATACTGGAAAAGAACATGACTATGTTGAGAAGTAATATGAGGTTGCTTGTATTTTATAAATAGTGATGTATCAGAACAATCTTCAAAACTCAACATTATGATGCAATGAAGTTAATTTATAAAGACATTAAGAACAGTGTAGCAACAAGAAGATATACTTCATTCATAACAAAAATTGATATCTTCGTAAAAACAAAGTACTGATGATGGCCAAAATGTGTATGCATTAATATATCAATATTTGGTATCAGAAGAACTAGATTTTATGGAATGATATATTGCCTATAACCTTGTGAATCACACTCCACAAATCAATGACACATGTAATTATGGCTATGTCAACTCTAGTGATAAAATTTAGTGAGTGGAAACGATTATGAACAATGTGTAGGCATGTCACGATTCTAAATAAGGAAGAATAGGAAGACAAAGGTATGCAATTGGAAGCATAAGAAACTGAACAATAATGGAAAATGGTGTTAGAAAAAATACTTACAATCCTAGACTGTAGAGGAGTAGTGGAATATAAAATAGGGTGAGAAGTATGGCTATTCCTCTGAGCACTTGCTTCATAATGCTACGTACAAACAGGAGTATAGCAATATGATCAAATATCACATTATAACTGAATACAGTACCTGTAAAAAGGGATATAGAAAACACCATGATCATCAAGTTACTTTCATTAATAATATTGCTTATAACTGTACAATTATCCAACAAGAAAGGCCAGAAATGAGCACTGTAAGCAATATAATGCAGCAGTATAAGAAATAAATGTAAGAACCTTTAGAAGACATAAATTCTAAAAAAAAATTTTTTTGGACTATAATAAAGTAGAAGTCCATGATTTATGCTAACCGTCTTACAGTGCGTTGTGCCACGGATTTTGAGATTGGAAATTTAAGGCATTGCCTAAATGTTTCGAGACTTGCGAAAAGCGTTTTACAGCAATCGAGCAAAGACGGACTAGGGATCTAGGTTAAGAATGTTGATGATCAGCATTTATGCGTAATCGCATAAGTAGAAAGCTCCGCTAACTGGGCCACTGGAGTATAATAATATTATCAAATACGCAGCAACGAGGCACCACGGACCTGCCCACCACCGTATGGGTAGCCAATGGAAACCCTCCACCACGAAGTGTAGGACGAAAGGAGTTAACTTCCCTCTTTTGCCAACTGCAGTGCCAGCAAAATTAGTGTATAAAAATGGAAAGAAAACTTAATGGGGATCGATCAAAAACGTAATAAGCAGTCGTCAGCCGGAGGCTCTATATGACATGGGACTCACAAGTGGTGGATATCTAGCCTGCGTCTCTTATCTCAAGTAAGTCACGTTTACTCATATAAGCCATGCAGTTAAACTTTATTGTTGTTGGTAAAGTGCTGTTTGTTAAATGTGAAAGCAATGTCCAGTGTGCCTAGGGTAGGACAGAGATGGTATAGAATAATAGTAATGATATAGTGACAGTCTCGAGCCATCTGCTCTAAGCGAGAGATTAGAATGTAAATCAGAACTGTTAATGGAACGATACCATGTGTAAACCGACAGACGTCGGCATTCTTTTATTGTAAATAGTGTAAATAGACAAGTGTAAATAGGACAGGTTGTACCGAGAGTTATAATTCACCCTCACCAACTCAACCTTTCCATGACCGATCCCGAGTGATCCTGACCCAAGCGAGGGCAGAACTGACCCAGGCAGCCAGCAGAGGCCGAATGCGGCAAACATCCTAGCGGAAAGGGTGGCGACGGACTATAGTAGTATTATTTTCTCACCCCCTTTAGGTATAACAAAGTGATAGCAGAGGTGGGGATCGGCCAACGCAAGGTGGCTGACGTAGAGAAAGAGTAACTGTGTTTTACTCACCCCTCACATTGAAGCATTACTTATGGCAACGGCGATAGGCCGAGTCAGCGAAGGGTTGACTAACGTAGTGAAGGGACTAGCCAAAGATAAATGGCAGACAAAGTGATTCAGTGTGTTTTAACCCACCCCGTCACTAAGACATAATTGGCGACTGCGGTGAGATATCCGGTCCACCCCTGTCGTAGAGGATAATATATGGTGTGACAGTCAATAGGTAGAGGCGGGTCAGACCCGACACACCCGCTCTACGCCAATAAGAGGTGACAGTGATGAAGGGGCCAGCCAAAAGAGAACGCTCGACCACCGCGCTACCAGCCCTTAGTATTTTCATCACCCCTTTTTAAGATGTAATAAGATGGTGGCAGCTGTATGCAATGAAGGAAGTCCAGAACCAGGATAATCCTAGCTGAGGGTAATCGAGGATTATTGTGTTAACCCCTCACAGCGTAAGATGTGGTGGCAAGGAGGTACACCTCCACGCCACCCCGCCACCACGGCATAATACAGTGCACACACTTTTTCACCTTACTCTTCTCTTTTACACTACATATTTCAGCACTAATGTGTCATCTTCAGGTGTGTCTCTATGCACGTCAAACTACTGCACTGCATGCCCTAATGTCATTCTAAAATGACTAAAATATGTATTCGTCACGCATGTGACGCACGCAATCACAGGAGCAAGACACAACACAGAGCACAATACACACATGAATGTAGGAAGAGTGCTCCCACAGAGGAGGACTGGCGTGATTCGCGTATTGAGATACGACGTAAGGATGATGAATCCTGAAAGGTTTTAATATTTAGAATTTATCATTATACATGACGAATACATATTTTAGTCATTTTAGAATGAAGACATCAGGGCATGCAGTGCAGTAGTTTGGCGTGCACAGAGACACACCTGAAGATAGCACATTAGTACTGAAAGATGTAGTGTAAAAGAGAAGAGTAAGGTGAAAAAGTGTAAGACTGTAAGATGGTTAGCATAAATCATGGACATGAATCAGTGCAACAGGATGCTAAAATATAACATTGTCATATAGTGTGATTTTTTACAGGAGAAAACAGGCAAAATCGCCAACTGTAACCTCCTTATAATACTAGCAATATTTACATGTTACACTCTAAAGGGTACACAACAGATTCATTTCTAACACACATATTTAATCTGATGCTCTATATATTCACATATTTGAAACAAGAAATGCTTCATCCAACTAACATCTCATTTACAGATAATGTGGTCAAAATGTCTAGACATTAAATAAGAATCATATGTTACAGTCAGGACCAGAAAAATGATGCCACAATCTTACCTTCAGGGATGAGGATATAAAAACTGGAAATTCATTCTCCACATCAGGACAGGGAAGCAAGAGGACAGAAGTAAACAATGAAGAAATCTTTGAAATAAAGTGTGCATGTTATATACACACAGCAAAACCACTAATGTGTACCGTACCTATGTAACACAAATCTACAAATTAATGCAAAAATCTTATATTCCAAAATGCCTAATCTCTTTACTTAAAGAAAAGAAGCATGGAAAACCTCTAAAGCCAAATAACTTTACTCAAATAATAAAGTGCTTGACCCAGTCAAAGGTGTATGGATATTCATAAACAAATAACTCGTCCTATATGGCAATACTGAGGTTGTACAAAATCCATTTCAGTAATTTATATCTGAAAGAAACCACTTACACGGTGTGTCCAGGATCTGTTAGGACTCATTTTTTTAAATTTTACCCTACAATGCCATCTGTTGGCGAGTTGTGGTGTTAAGATTCTTGAAGTTTCAGCTGTGGCTGTCTATAATTTAAAAGGACAAGCATCACTGCATCACGTGTTCTGACCTTGAATGTAACAGTACTGTTCTGACGTTTGTCAGAAAATGGTGAACAGACAGCCAACATCAAATTTTGTTTGAAGTTAGACAAAACAGCCAGAGAAGCATACGAAATGATGAAAGGTGTGTCTGGTAGTGATTGTTTGAGTCACTCAAAACATTTTTCGATGGTATGCTGCATTTCATGACGGCAGGGAGGACACTGAAGATGCTCCACGTGCATCAAAGCCAAAAACAAGTAAAACAGAAGAAAATGTGAAAAAAGTGACCAAAATCATTGCATCGGACAGATGTGTTTCTGCAAGACTCATCAAGGAGCTTTTGGAAATACCAGAAAGTACTGTGCATCACATTTTGACCAAGGATTTGATCAAATGGAAGGTCTGTGCATGGTCTGTACTGCACACACACTGTCAGGCAATGAAAAACATGCCAGAGTGGAACACTGCAAAGTGATACAAAATTTACAAAATTGATTGTTACTGGTGACGAGACATGGTGTTTTCAATACGAGCCTCTCACAAAGCGGCAGAGTGTAGCGTGCAGCGTGGTTGAGCCCAAACAAGCCGAAACCAAAGAAAGTGTGCATGCAAAAGGGTCGAGTAAAGACACTGCTAACTGTTTTCTTCGATTCCAAAGAAATCACTCACAAGGAATTTCTGCTAGAAGGTCCAACAGTGAATTCTGATTATTATCTCAGAGTCCTCAATCGTTTGTGGGCAAGAATTCTTTGAATTCGACCTGAATATTGAGAGGAAGGTTCCTGGTTGTTCCTCCACGACAATGCCCCATCCCCACAAATCGAAGATCGTGCTCAATTTTTTGGCCAGAAAAGGGATCACAGTCCTTCATCATCCTCTGTATTCGCCAGATTTGGCTCCAGCAGATTTCTGGTTGTTCCCAAAAGTTAAGGTGGCGATGAAAGCAGACCGTCACAACACAATCCAGGACATCCAAAGGAAATGTACTGCAGTTTTAAATGTGATTCCACAAAAGGAGTACAGTGACTGCTTTCAAAAACTTTCCAATTGATTCCAGCTATGTATTGATTCAGGAGGAGGCTATTTTGAATAAAAAGAGTGAAATTTTGAAAATAATTAATGTCTTGTATTTTTAATGAACACAGTCCTAACAGAACATGGACACACTGTGTATGAATAAATGCATTCACACGTATGGATACATAGCCATTAAAACTAGAATTCCTTTCATTTTATATACAGAAAATCTCACACAACACAAGATAATTCAGGTATTGTAACGTGTTTCGTTACTGATGACACTGTTCGGATTGTTAATTGGTTTATTTAACAATATTATATTTCAGCATCCTGTTACACTCACACANACACACACAGAGAGCGCCTACACTGAACAACACATGAACGGCGATAAAAACAAGAAGTGGCCGCTGCAGCACCGTAGATATAGGGCATGTACCCTGAAAAACTTTAATTGAAAAATTTGAAAAAGAAAGAGAACAAAGATCTTATAGACATTTTAACTTGAATTGGGGTTTAAAAAGTGCTAATTTAAAGATCAAATTGACGCGTGTAGATTGACAAAGATTTTATACCATTGGAAAGAGTGGTGTTTTTTAATTTTTAACAAGCAGTGTAACAGTTGCGTGAGTGATACACACCTGATGATGGCCATTTAGGGCCGAAACATGTAGTGTGGAGGAGGAAAAAGAAGTAAAAACTACAATAAAATTGTTGCACTTAAGACGGTATTTGTCCATATATATTATTTAACAACCTACAAGTATCAGCTACAATTAATTATAATGCTGTTGCGGGGTTTCACACTTTATAACCCTATTCGCAATAATCAATTCACTCTGTCACGATTAACTCGTTACAATTCAATTCAACTCGTAACTCGCCACTGGCTAACTAACTTGAGAACTGCTGACTGGAGAACTGTCTTCAGCTGCTGATACACTTTAACTGACAACAACTGAATTCGGTGACAGCCACATTTCAACTGACTGCGGCGGCTGTGTAGTTCCCTTATATAGTCGCAGTGCTTGCCTGTTACGTAATCGGTACCGCTGTTGGCTGACACCATGTCGACAGCGGCGTTGTGTGCCATGTCACAGTGCAGAGGGGGGGGGGGACGGAGCGCTGACTCATCCGCCACATCACTGCTGGGTAGGGAGGGGTTGTCCTCCATTGCGCAACGTCACAGTATTATTCCATTTGTATTTTTACATTCTAAGGTTTTTAACTAACAGCAAATAATGCTTTCCCAGATCAGATACAATACATTTCACTTTGGTATTCAGAACTGATACTTTTTTGAATAAGCATGTACTTATTACTTTCTTCTTTATTATGTCATACATAAGCATGAATTTGTATTTCCTTCAGCAATGAAGGTCACTTTCCTCTAATAAATTCTTCTGTTTCTCAACATACAACGGCACAAACAATTCCTGAAATAATATAACTTTTAGAGCTCATCAAATTGCATTAATCATCCATGGTAACGAACACACACAGAAAGACTGCGATAATGATTTCTTTATCAATGCTACTGTTAGTGCTTCAAAACCAATTGATGTGGTATTTAAGCCTTTAAAAACAGAAACAACCAGGAAGCATAAAACTGTTAGATACTGTGAACTCAGATATTAGTTATATGTTCACAATTAAGGAAATATTTTGGGTTCCATGCAGTATCAGTTTAAAAGAATGGCACTGACAATGAAAAACTATAATCTTTGAATGAAGTTATGAGAAATTTTCAAAGTTCATGGACAAGACAGCACAGCATAGCGCAAAATATTTCTCTCCTTTCAGAAGAGTACAGAAACATGGTTCATAAAAGACAAAATAGCTGACCTTACAATGTCAGCTTCATATTAAATTCAAATACTGCTTCAGCAACCATAAAGCCTATTTTAATTGTAATACCAACTTGAGGAAAATTTTAACTGTTAGTACATAATATGACATATTAAACTGGTATGGATCATATCAGCAGTTCAATAACCAAACGTATTCCTACATATAATTGCCCAATGATGGTCCTGTACGACCAAAACATGTAGCAGGAATAAAAAGTTGAATTAATACAACATTAATAGTGAGTATATTTGTTGTCTTGATGATTAACCTAACTCCTATACATATCTGGAACACACAACAGGATGGAACCAATGAAGATAATCATAAAGCCTTTCGGAGTTATAACTCAACAGAAAGGACAATATGACAATTTGACACTCTATGTGACACAAACAAAATGCTCTGAAAACATCTGTTTTTCAGAAAGTTATGGCAGGAGCTGATATTTTCTAAGGGTTACAATGTATTGTCACGTGTGGGGTGTATAATGCGCGACAAGTAACTTTACGCCGTACTGAGTGCAGTGAATTTATTGCACATTCGCTCTTACATTCACACAATTTAAAATTACACAATTTCTGCCATTGGCAGTATCACAACTCATTCTGGCAAATGCTAGACTGCAACTGACTGGGTACTCGTTACTCACTAGTAACTCACTCACTCGTAGCTGGCTCAATCCTCACTCACTAATCACTCAGTACTGAATAGTGTTCGCTGCACCTTATTTAGCCTCGGCACAGACAACACAGAAAAGAGTTACGTGATAGGTACCGCTGTTGCCTGATGCCGTGTTTACCGGTTGCCTAGCAACGCTGTCGAGTTGCTTCCTGCTGCGTAACAACTGCAGTATCCCTTGGTAACAACACAGCTGCTCCTCTGCTATGTCACTGTGGGGGGAGGGGGGCGCCCAAGTATTGTGTACTGGTGGAAGGAGTGGGGGTATGTGACGTCACTTGCGAGACTGCAGAGTTCACGTGACCCCTACTTCCCGTTGCGCCATCCATGTCACAGTATTAAGGAAAGCCCTCAAGGTATGTGTATGTATAAACTCTTTTATTTATTTTGATGTCCAGAAACCCCTCCTACAAAATATGGCATGTAATGGACACCTTACACTCTCACTCTCTCTCTCTCTTCTCCCTCATTCACTCGCACATGCACACACAGAACAAAATAAAAAGTTCCTTGCATAATATAGAGGTCAAAAATGATAAATTGAATAAAAATTAAATTCACATGACAACTTTAATGTATACCTTCAAAATAAAATTAATTCAAATCCATCATGTAGTCTGGGGTTGAAGGAAGCACCTGGACAAATTACACAACCTTGCAATAAGACACTTGTGGTACAAGTAGAACCGCTGATATATGTAAACACCTCAAATCATACCATTATTAAAGGAACATATCCAGTGATACATAATTCCAGTCACCAATAAGAGAAGATATTAACAATTTAGAACATGCTGATCTGGAACATGCCACACAACACATCTGTTTCCAAAGACAGAAACATGAGAAACAAAATTTCACACTGGAGTCACATATATAAGGTATCAGTACCAAATCTGAACCACTGGCTTACTGATATATGTATTCTTCTTAGATGCAGCATACCCTTTACCAGAACCACAAATTTTCAGTGACTTAATCAATATAATATGAACAGGAGCCCACATACACAAAGTATTAGTTTTGGGAAGTCTTGTAAGCTGTGCAGTGAACAAAATGCCAGCATTTGCTAGTGAACACACACAGAGATCATAACAAGCACCTTATAATCAATATAACAGTACTTCTAAAACTGACCCTTAAAAATACTCTTTAACAATAATTCAACTACCTTTAATTCTGATGCACAATATTAATTTCAACCCACCTTCTTATAAATCTCCTTCTAGAAACACAAACCATGGTTCTTGAGTTGACACAGGAAATAACGTTTTCTGTAAACATAATATGACTTATGTAATACATGAAAATAATTCACATTTCATTATGTAACATATGGATTACCTTACCACACAACCAACAGACTACTCCCTTTACAATGATGATGCTCATTTGTTTAAAGTTCATGATGTTAGAGAGGTATTTTGACTACATGCAAGGCTAGTGTTAAATTCCCAATTAAAGATGAGTGCTCTCTTGAAATGGTACTAAGACAAAACTAAATATGGTGGTGTTGATAGCATATTGCATAATTTTCTCAGTATTTCTTCATAATATACAGATGAGAAAGGACCATATATTTTACAAAGTTAGGTGGAAAAAGCTATCAAGGAAATGAGGACGGGAAAGGCTACAGGAGATGATGATGTACCCGGAGATGTGCTCAAGTTACTGGGAGAAGGTGGTTTGAAAACAATGACAAAACTAATGAACGCCATATATGAAAGTGGAGAGTGGCCCAAGGACTTTACAGAAGTTACAATGATTGCCTTAAAGAAAAAGACAAAAGCTACAAAATGCAGCGACCATCGTACAATAAACCTTATTGCACATACAGCAAAGATAATAGCAAAGATACTTAAAAGAAGAATTGAAAGGAAAATAGAGGATGTACTTGGAGAAGATCAGTTTGGATTTAGAAGAGGAAAAGGAACCAGGGATGCAATTGGGATGTTGAGAATTATAGCGGAACGAACTTTGGAGA